CGCGCCCAGGGCCTGTGCCCCGCAAGGGGGGAGGCCACAACAGTGAGAGGCCCACGTACCGCAAAAAAAAAAAAAAGACTATAAGAGACACAGTACTGCTCCTCATTACTTGTGAAATCTCAACTAGTCTTTTTGGCCTGGATATTGTGCAATTTTATTAACTGAGTACTTTCAGAATTCCAGTGTAACTTTAGTTCACCTCACAATAAAACTAACAATCTTACAGTTGTCTTGCAGCAAAAACATGCAGGTATCACTATCAAAATGTCCCCAATGATTGAGCATCTGAACTACTTGTCAATAACCAAACTCATTAACTCCCCACAAAATCTGTTCCTCCATCTCTTTGTTCCTTGGGGAAGTGAGGGCTGAGGTAGGGTAAGTGACAAAATACCATCTATCCAGTCACTCAGAGCTAAACTGGGAAGCATCCTTAGACTCCTCCTTCTCCTTTAATCCCAAATCTGATCAACAGGTCCAGTCAATTTAATCTCCTAAATATCTGTCAGATTTCCTCTTTGCTATCCTCATTCCTACTACCACAGCCCTGGTGGTTCCGCCTCAGATGGTGGTTCACCTAGATCATTACATGTCTCTTAACCGCTCTCCCTGCCTCCAGTTTTGCCCCCTCCAAACCATCCTCCACACTACAGAACCAAGTCATTGTTTTGAAAGCACAGTTATGACCATGCTGCTCCCTTATTTAAAACCTTTCAGGGGCATCCTGTCACCTATCTAAAGGACAAAGTCCAAGCTCCTTAGCATGTCCTACAAAGCCTTCTACAGTCTAGCCCATTCCCCTCTCTCCCACCTACTCTTCAGTTTAGTCAGCTTGTTATCTCTGTGCATTTATTCACGTTGTGCTCTTAAATGGTCTCCTCCAACTCTCATCAAAGCTCACTTTACCTGTCTACCTCTTACCCATTGATTAAAACACAAATGAGTTCTTTTCTGGTCTCCCCAGATGTGGCTGGATTTCCCTTCTATGTTCATATCATACCTTTTGCATATCTCTATCATTGCAGTTACATTCTGTAATAATTATCTATGAGTATGTCTATTTCCTCCATTAGAATATGATCTTGTGGTCAAGGAATGTGTCTTATTGATCTTTTTATCCCTGGAATCTAAAACAATGTCTGGGAATAATAAACATTCCATAATTATTTAACGAATAAATATCCCTACACTATTTTTAGAACTATACAAAAGCATTTGATACCATTTGCAGTCATAGGTGATAGAAACTTTTGTATCAGGGTAGTTTGATTACTCAAGAAAACTAAAGCAGAGTTGGTGGTGCCCTGACTCACTGCCCCTGAGCAAAAAAATGAAGGAAGTTTCTATCACTCAAATGAATTGCTATGGACACAGCTATGGTCACAGTTACAACAAAAACCTTTCATCCAGTCATTCAAGAAATAGCTTGAGGGACTTTTATGAGCTGGGCCCTTTCTAGACATTGAGGAACAAAACAGATAAAGTCACTGCCCTCAAGGTGCTATTATTCTAATGGAAGGAGATAATCAATAATCAAATAAGCAAAATAACTTCTGATGGTGATAAACGTGTTTCTCTGAGTTCTGGGAGCTGCTGTAGCAAATTAATCAAACCTGAGGAGGGGGACGTGGGAACCTCCAATTTGTAGCCAAATCTGAGAGAAGTTGTGGGTATCTGGGGACCTAACTACTTGTGATTGGCATCTGAAGTGGTATGGGAGCAGTCTTGTGGGACTAAGCCCTTAACCTCTGGGATCTGACACTATCTCCAGGTAAACTGTTAGACTGAGTTAAACGGTTGGACACCCAGCTGGTGTCACAGAGAATTGTGGGGACCCCACATATTTGGTTTTTCCCTACTATCTCCAGGTAAACTGTTAGACTGAGTTAAACGGTTGGACACCCAGCTGGTGTCACAGAGAATTGTGGGGACCCCACATATTTGGTTTTTCGCTACACAGGAAAAAGACATACTTGTGGAAAACTGAATTTTTTCCAGTACGAATGGTACCTATTAGTTTATGCCTATGGAAAAGTCTTCTTGTTTAATAGGATATGAACATCAAAATCCTTGAGACAATATCTCAGAAAGTATACAATGACCACAACACTCAAAGTACAAGAAGTAGAACCCTATTACTCATTTAACAAAATTTGTTGAGGACCTACTCTGAACAAATTATGAATAGGTTTGCTGAGCCAGCGCAGGAAACTGGATTAATTCATCAATTAAACTGAAGGGATCTGAGAAGAGTGGTTCAATCAACCCCTCACTTTACAAACAAAACTGCAGCCCAGAGGAAGAAACTGCTGTTCCTCCTAAACTGGAAGATGAGAGAATCATGCCCTAGGTTGCCCCAAGGACATACTATGAATAGCTAAAGATTTTCACTAACAACATAAACCAACAGTTTTTAATGAAATGTTATGTGGGCAGTAGATTAATGTATTATGCTAAGAAAAATGTAATATTTATGTAAAGCCCTTGATATGATATAGTGCTTTGCACAGGGTAGATGCTCAATAATGGTAGCTATTACTTCCAGCTATATGGTCTTTGGAAGGCTGAGTGCATGATATCTACCTGGCATCAACCACTTGACTAAATTGATAATAGAGCGACATGACTTCTAATCTAATTCAAACATTTGATTTTCCACATGGAAAACGTGAAATCTGAAAGGGCTAAATGACCTGCAAAGCCAGCCACAGTGAGAGAGACAGAGCCAAGACCAAACCCTGAATCCCCAGTCCGGGTTCCATTACATGCCACAGGTCTACAGTTTAGCTATAAGGTTATGTTCAAAGTTTTATAAGAAGGTAATAAGAACAGAGCTGCTAAACCTGACTTTTTTCAATCCTTTCATTAAAGTCATCATTGAGCTATGATTTTGATATAAGAATCAACAAAGCATATTGGGAATATATAGCCTTAGGAGTTAACAACGAAACAACAGTCTTGGTAATGCAGTTCTATCACGGACACCTGATAAACGGATAGGCTACCGGAGCAGCTGTTATATGTGCCGAAGTAGAGAGACTACAAGCAGAACAGAAATACAAAAGAGAAAACACTTAAAATGTGACAACAGCTGTGGGTCATTAAGAAACTGAGATCAAGTCTTTTGGCATACAGCAACAACAGAATGGTTTGTTTTAAGCAAAGACCAACCGGGAGTCTAATAAAAACACTGGGAGACCCAGACTAAAAGCCACAATGCGGGAAGAGTTGTAGTAAGCAATCCAAAAGTTTTCCCTTTCACGAAGAGTGGAAAGCCCAACCGTAAACTTTCAGGTCCTTTTGCATATGAGATCAGGATGCCCTCCCCCTTCCCCCATAAAGATAAAAAATAATCTCTGTATGGGAGGGAAAAAGGGGCAGGGCATAGAGGGGAATCCAATTTATTTGTGGTGAATTAAATTCAACTCAACAAATATTTCCTGAAAAATCTACTATGTGTAAAACATTGTGAAAGATGCTTGCCTTGCCTCAAAGACCTCAGAATTATATGGTAGAAGGGAAGAGAATGGGGTTCACGGAAGTACCCAAGGAAGAACAGAAGCTCTCTAAGAGAGGTTCCAGTCAGGGCTATAGGTTCAAAGGGGTAAAGAGGACTTCGAGACTCAGAAAAGGTTTCACGGGAGAAGTGAGGGAGAGGGGAGGCGAGTGGGTGAACGTTTGGACCATTGGGAGAGGTCAACTGCCGGTTCCCTCCCAACTGCCCGCCTCCTCACGCGCTTGGCGGGCGCCCTGCGCACCCTCTCCCGCGGGGCAGGCAGCAAGGCTCCCCCCCGCCCCGGTTCTCCCCCGCCATTTCTCACCTCGGAGGCTTCCAAATTCCTCCTCGACCAACCCTGTCTGAAGACAGGAGAAAAAGCTGACAGCAAAGAGCCCCAAGGCGGGCGACCGAGGCGTGCTGTCAGCTCACTAGCTTGAGCCTGCCGCCAGGCCGCGCCCCCATGGTAACGCCGCCAAGCGCCGGTTCGAACGCCCGCGCCGACGCCAGCGCACTGGCAATCCAGCACCGTTCACCAATGGGCATCCAGGGAACTCGTGGACGTGGGCCGCCTTCTCTTGTAGAAGGCCAATCAGGGAACTAATGAAACGGTGGGCGTATCTCTCAATTTCCGTCTTTCGGTCTTTTAACCAATTACTCCACTTAAGTGAAGATCTCGCGATGTTCTGAGTGAGAGAACCTCACCTTTGAGGCGGGTCCAGAATCCTAATGCCCGGAGCTGTTGGTCGCCCAAAGCGCAATGGAGCTCTCCGGATTGGTCGACGTACCCCAGGTCTCCGTTTAAGGCCCGCCTCCTGCCTGCTTCCACTTCGGGAGGTGAGTAAATCTTAGGGAGGGACCACTGGCATTAGTTCTCCGCGGCGGAACTGAGGCTCGGAGTTATGGGAGTTTGCCGCTGACTAATCTCCCGTCGCTGTAGGATCAGAGGTGGACGTTCCTTCCTCCAAGCTGGCAGTGAGGCGTTGTTAGGTCAGGCCCCAGACGCTCGCAGGACCTCAGTTTTTCTGTATGCGTAGGGAGAAGGGATCAGTGGCCCCGCGAGCTTTGCTTGCCCTCATGCAAGTGGTGATCGGGTGGGTCGTCGGAAGCCCAGAGTTCCGGGTGTAGGGCCCAGCGACCCGAGGTCCATTCCTTCCCCTCCTTGGGCCTCAGTTTTAACATTGTTGTTACCTTTTAAGCCCTGCCTACTTTCCAAAAGAGGTTTTATATTTTCTAATAGCTTCATTTATTGAATGGATAATATCGTGGCAATTATAGCAGAAGTAAAGAAAGTCACACGAGAATCCCACTACCTAAAAAAATAACTTCCTTTTTCCTTGTTGTGGCTTGGTTTGGACCTTATGTATTTATTATATCTCCTAAGGGGAAAATACATGAATGACAAATTAAAATAAACTGAATGCAATCAAATAGGCAAATGTAGCTAATGTAGAGTCGAGGCTGAGAGCAGTGATGTTGGGAGACAGGCAGATCTGCTTTTGAGTCACTACTCAGACACATGTCTGAGCTGTAATTTCCTTTTTCCTCTTCTGAAAACTGTCAGTAGTGCCTCGTGGGGTTGTTGTGAAGAATAAGTGAAATAACAAAGGTAAAGCACTTGGCACAATGCCTGACAAGTAGTAACTCTTCCAAAAATGATAGCTATTATCTTCATAATAGAAACAAGCAAATATACTAGCCAATGGAGCCAGCAGATGTACTGTAACTGAGTACCCAATTTAGTTCAAAATTTGTCAGTTAAATAACTAATAATTCAGGAAGCAATACATTCTTCAAAAGAGTGGAATTTCTTCCTAGTAGCTATATCAAGAGGAATTTATCTGTGGGGCCATCAGGGATATACATGGTGTGATCACCGGTAGTTTTGCAGAAAATGTGAAAAGCCATTTCTTGATTCAACTGTCAATAAAAGCTAAGAGCATGCCCTTAAAACATAACATAGAGAAGCTTTCTGATAATCTTGTATAACAGGGGTAAGCGTGACTCGTATATTCAGTACGTCTATGTCAGACCCTACATATACATTATTTATTATAAACTCTACAGCAACCGTGAATAGTAGGTTGTTGTTTCCTTGTTTGTAAGATGAGGAAAATGAGGCCTAGAATAGTTAAGTATTTTGCTCAAAGTAAGACACTGTTAAATTAGGGAGCTAAGTCTCACTGTGGAGCCAGCCATGCTTTTCTGTGTTGTGCCGTGCTGTTTCTGACTGAAAGAGGATGAAAATACTTGGAATACCAGATGTACAAGCAGCTTTACCCAAATGGAGGGAGGTGGGCTGCAGAGATACCTACAGTGGAAGCAAAATCTTTCTCTAACAGGAAATTTCAGCCTTGGGAAATGAAGAGATGGGATGAAGTGATCACTGAACTCTAGACGCATGTGTCCATTTACTTTGTGGGTAGTCTGTCGCACTTCAAATTCAACTTGTCCCAAACAGGAATCATTTGCATGCATTCTACTCCTGCTTCTACCTAGTCACTCAAACCAAATACCTCTCCCTTTCCCTCTCCCTTGGACAGTGAAACAGCAAATAGTGTTGATTTTCTCTTTGAGACCTCTCAAATTCGTCCCTTCCTCTCCTTTCTCACTGCCTCTGCCTTAATTTGACTCTGTCATTTGTCATCTGGACTGTTTGCAACAGGCTTGTAACTGGTTGGCCTCCTTACCTTCTAATTCTTTCTCCACTTTTGTTGCTGTCAGAATGTTTCTGTAAAATGTCAACCTAACCATATTACAGCCATGTCCAAAACCAGTCCAAGGTTCCTCATTGCCTACGGGATAGAAACTAAGTTTTATCAATGGCATGTCATCTTGTGCTTGAGGGTCTTTGCTCACACTCCTCCCTTGGCCTGGAGTGCCCCTTGCCACCTTTATTCTGCTTGGTAAACTCCTAGTCATCCCTCAAAATCCTTATGGCGTACCCCTTGACCTAAAGATATCACCCCTTCTTTGCTACATTTACATCTTACACATACGCTTGTGATGCAAAAAACACATTTGGTAACTTGTCTGTTTAAACATCTTCCACTTCCACTAGTATTAAGCTTCCCATCTACTCTTCAATCCTGTTAACACTGCCTGTCGCATGGGACACACTCAACAGACATTAGATGAGCGAATGAATCCTTTCAGGCTCTAGTATTAGAATTCCCCATGTTGGCTTTCCAGAATTGTACAGCAGATGGCACTAATAGGCCATTTAACAGATCTTCACTAGAAATGATTTTTGTCCCAACCTTGTCTGTCTTGGCTTCATCCTAGAAGCCAATATTCATGTCATTACAGGTGAAATCTCCTGTTTCCTCCCTCAGCCAAATAGCAAAGATAGCAAGATGACTCAGCAGCTTGGTCTCTGAGAAAAGAGAGTGGCAGATGTCCAAGGAAAGGTGCAGTTGAGGGAACATTTTCTTTTTCAATTTATTCAATTTATGGTAGTTGGGAGCTTTTTTCTTTCTTTCTTTTTAGTTTTATCTTTTTGCTGTTGTTATAAGAGAGAGCTTTATTCAAAGATGGGAGCCTCATTTCTGTCCACTCCTTTGAAAGGGAAGAAGGGACTTGGAGAATTGGAGAAAAGACCATTGTGATGTGGGAAGTGAGGGAAAGATGAGGAGTCACAAAGTTGCTTGTGGGCAGGCAGAGTTGGCCTTCCTCCTCGCAGCGGAGTGGCCTGGGCAAATTTTCGGGACACCAGTGCCCTAAGTTAGGAATTTGTGTGCTTGCCCAAGGCTAGCATCCAGTGTGTCCCCAGTACTTGGTGCTTGGGAACCCTCAGGCTACTCGGCATGGTTTTGAACGTGTGGTTATAGGTTCCTGCTTCCCAGAAAAAAAGCAGAAGAGGCATAGAAATCTTTATCAGAGACACAAAGTTTCGGGGCCTCAGACTACACTTTACCCCTCCAGGGTTGTCTTTGGGTACCAAGACCTTCATCTATACCACCCTCCAACTAAAACCTCTTCTGTGGAAAGGAGTCCAGTTAGACAACTTTAAAATCCTCCATATGAATATAGATCAAAGTGTGGGAATTCTGGAACTGGAAATGATTTTATAAATCATTTTCGTGTCCTCTCTCAGGGCCACTTGTGCCCTAAGTCCTGCTCTTTCACAGTAAGCAAAGCAGTATAAAGGGGAAAAAATACAGATTTTGGAGTTAGACTTACTTGAATTCAAATCTCAGCATTCACAGACCAGCTATGCCTTTGGACAAGTATTTTAAACTTTCTGAATCTCAGTTTCCTCATCGTAAACTGGAGATAATAATGCTTATTGTGAAGAGTTGTCTTGAGCATTAGAAAAGATACACGTGAAGAACCTTGCACAGGCTAGATGCTTAATTGATAACATGGTGGGATGAAATACTGTTTCTGCTAGAGGGATTTTACACTAGGAGGAACAAGTTGGTGGGGGAGGATTTGGAGAGCTCTTTCTGTATGTAAAGGTACATTTATGAGGGCTTTGGGGGTTGAACTATGCTTGCAGTAGCACTCTGATTAATTTGATGAAAATATCGGAACACAGCACATCAGTATAGCCATTTATCTGTGAATTATTTTTTGGCACCTAAGTCCTGAACCTCCTAGGCTGTGAGGGAATTGTATCTATAGAGAAAGCCAAGAGTATTTTTCGTTAGCTTCTGGAACCTTCTGATGACATTGAGGGGTTTTTTGTTCAGGTTTTTTTAACCACCTAAGGCACTTTGCCACTTTTCTGAAGTGTGAATTGCCTGCTGTCAGCCTGGAGTTCTCACCTCCGCAATCCTGGCTGCAGGCATCTTTGCATATTAGACGCTGTGTTCTTTAACCCCCTGAGGTTTGAATCCACTCAGAGTTTGTGCGTGCCAGAACGTGTGTGTGTGTGTGTGTGTGTGTGTGTGTGAGAGAGAGAGAGAGGGAGAGAGAGAGAGAGAGAGAAATCTGGCTACTTTCAAACCCCAGGACAGTTTCAGCTCCGTGGTCTCCAGAAAAACAGAAAGCCTCCAACAATAGCTCCATTGACTTTTATGTAAATGGCACTCCTCAGGAAAACACTGGGCTATTTCCCAAAGTCCCAGAACGTACCCTGAACATTTGTTTGAGTGGGAGGTGGGGAGACAGTTCTGTTGAGTCAATGAACATCTGTTGAGAGCTGCTGTGCTGGGTCCCAGGAGACAGCTCATAGTCTGGCTCTTCCCTGCCAGAGGTACAGACAGAGTTTTACCATACTAGGCATGCGTGCTTGTGGTGGATTTGTACTGTGTCCACTTAGCTGAGCTGGAACCGAGTTTCCCAGGATTCCCTTCCTGTGTGGTTCCAGTTGGGGTTGACCTCAAGAAAATTTTGTGCAAGATTTGGAAAACTGAAGTGAAGTAGCAGCCAGTACACTGTGAAGGACACCGGGCATGGTGGCGGTGCATACCTTTTGACCCTGACCTGCTGGCTCACCTTGGTTGTGCAGGACAGCACCCAGGCCTGCAGCCCCGCAACTC